ACTCATGTTTTGTGGCACAGGTTAGGTCTCCAGGAAATAGACGTTGAGACACAGATTATGTGCAGGAGTATTGTGGGGGTTACCCTTGGGGTCAAAACCTGTCAGAGAGTGAAGGAAGCAGGGCTGGAGGGAGGGAGGAGCGAGCTGAGATGACCGAACCTCCTCTAATCCTGCAGGACCTCTGCAGCCTCATGGTTGAGCCCAGTTGGTCACAGGTGCCTGAGTATAGATCTGTACCAACCAGTCGCTGATGTGGGCAGCTCCTCAGAGGGACACTTGACCCCGAGCAGAGGGGGAGACGAGTGCTTGTGTAGGGGAGGGTTTGATGGTGCACCCAGCATCCACTACATTACTCACCACTCCTCCAGGATCCCGTGAGGCCTCTTTTTCTGGGGAAAATGTGAAGGAAAAACGTTGCTTGGGTGAACTACAGCGCCCCCTGCTGCCTCGGGGCTGCAATGGATTCATCACCCTCAGCCCCACCACACATTCTCCGTCTGCTCCAAGAGGCCTAGCGATGTGGTGACCTGGACCCTCATCCCGGGACACCACGCCTCTGTCAAACTTGGCAGCTGCCCGCTGACCATGAAAACCAGGCAAAGAAGAAACAGGGAGGCTTGAGTGGAGGCACATGCCGGCATATCTCCTCCAACGTGAGGTGTCCGCCCAGACCACTGTGCCACGGCCAGGGGCACCCTCTCCAGCCTCTCCTCTTAAGGTCTCTGCTCAAGATTCACTGCTCTTTATTTTCTGAGTTTTACTTCATTTTATGCTCATGGAATAATTGCAAGAATGACTATAGTCGAAACCCTCTGTACTGGCCGGGCACGGTGGCTCACATCTGTAATCCCAGCACTTTGGGAGGCTGAGGCGGGCGGATCGCTTGAGGTCAGGACTTTGAGACCAGCTTGGCCAACATGGTAAAACCCAGTCTCCACTAAAAATACACACGTAAGCTGGGCGTGGTGGTGCGCATCTGTAATCTCAGCTATTCAGGAGCTGAGGCAGGATAATCACTTGAACCCGGGAGGCGGAGGTGGCAGTGAACTGAGCTCGCACCACTGCACTCCAGCCTGGGCGACAGAGCAAGAGCCTGTCTCGCAAAAAAACAGAAACAAAAACAAAAACCCTCCACACCCATTTCCACACTCCGCTGCCTTGTTCACCTCATCATTTTTCTGTGCATTTTGTAGAAATAAAATGAAATGGTTTACTTTTTTTTTTTTTTGAGATGGAGTCTCGCTCCGTCGCCCAGGCTGGAGTGCATTGGCGCCATCTCAGCTCACTGCAAGCTCCGCCTCCCGGGTTTATGCCATTCTCCTGCCTCAGCCTCCCGAGTAGCTGGGACTACAGGCGCCCGCCACCTTGCCCGGCTAGTTTTTTGTATTTTTTTTAGTAGAGATGGGGTGGTTTTCTGAACCATTTTAGAGCAAGTTGCATATAACATGGCACTTTTCCCCTATAGGCTTCAGTGTGAATTTTCAAATAAGAGGAATGTCTTATGGAAAGCACAGGACATTGCTGATTTCAGTAAACCGACATTGATGCAATCTTTTAATCTACATCTGAACTCCAACTTCATCAGCTGACTTGATAATGTCCTTTGTAGCATTTTCCCCTCCACTGCTGGATCCATCTAGGATCAGTTATTTGACATTAATAAAAGATTTACACAGGCCGGGCATGGTGGCTCACGCCTGTAATCCCAGCACTTTGGGAGGCTGAGGCGCGTGGATCATGAGGTCAGGAGATCAAGACCATGCTGGCCAACATGGTGAAACCCCATCTCTACTAAAAATACAAAAATTAGCCAGGTGTGGTGGCACGCACCTGTAATCCCAGCTACTCGGGAGGCTGAGGCAGGAGAATGGCGTGAACCCGGGAGGCAGAGCTTGCAATGAGCCGAGATTGTGCCCCTGCACTCCAGCCTGGGCGACAGAGTGAGACACCATCTCAAAAAAAAAAAAAAAGATTTTCACAGGTTTGTTTTTTCTGGCATTAACATTTTTGTTGTTTTTGTGAGTTTTTGTTGTTGTTGTTGTTGTTGTTTTTGAGACAGAGTCTTGCTCTGTCGCCCAGGCTGGGGTGCAGTGGCATGATCTCAGCTCACTGCAACCTCCGCCTCCCGGGTTCAAGCAATTCTCTTGCCTCAGCCTCCCGAGTAATTGGGACTACGGGTGTGCACCACCACACCAGGCTAATTTTTGTATTATTTTAGTAGAGATGAGGTTTCACCATGCTAGTCAGACTGGTCTTGAACTCCTGACCTCGTGATCTGCCTGCTTCAGCCTCCCAAAATGCTGGGATTACAGGCCACCGCACCCGACCTGTTTTGTTTGAGATGGAGTTTTGCTCTTGTCACCCAGGCTGGAGTGTAGTGGTGTGATCTCAGCTCACTGCAACCTCTGCCTCCTGGGTTCAAGTGATTCTCCTGCCTCAGCCTCCTGAGTATCTAGGATTATAGGCACCCGCTACCACGCCCGGCTGTGGCATTAACATTTTTGAAGAATACAGTCCCTCTCGTTTAACAGAGTGTTCCTTATTTGGGTTTGTCTGAAATTTCTTCGTATGTAGATACGGGTTGTGCACTCCTGGCCGGATTCAGTGATGCCGTGTCCTGCTCTGGAAACCACACCCAGGTGCACATGGTGTGCACCTGCCCTTTACCAGGGATGCTGAGTTTTATCACCTGCCCAACAAGTGGCCTCATTTCTCCACTGCGACTAACAGTCTACGGACACAGACTTTCAGACCTTAAAATATCCTTCACTTTTTTTTTTTTTTTTTTTTTTTTTTGGAGACAGGTCTCACTCTGTTGCCCAGGCTGGGATGCAGCAGCACAATCACTGCTCAATGCAGCCTCGCCCTCCTGGGCTCAAGAGATCCTCCCACCTCGGCCTCCGGAGTAGCTGGGACTACAGGCGCGTTACCATCATGCCCCCTAATTTTTAAAGTTTTTTTTTTTTTTTTTAACAGTGTCTCATTCTGAGGCCAGGCGCGGTGGCTCACGCCTGTAATCCCAGCACTTTGGGAGGCCGAGGCGGGCGGATCACGAGGTCAGGAGATCGAGACCATCCTGGCTAACACGGTGAAACCCCGACTCTACTAAAAATACAAACAAATCAGCCGGGCGCGGTGGCAGGCGCCTGTAGTCCCAGCTACTCCGGAGGCTGAGGCAGGAGAATGGCGTGAACCCGGGAGGCGGAGCTTGCAGTGAGCCGAGATTGTGCCACTGCATTAGAGCCTGGGCGACAGAGCGAGACTCCATCTCAAAAATAAATAAATAAATAAATAAATAAAAATAAGAAAAAGTGTCTCACTCTGTTTCCCAGGCTGGAGTGCAGTGATCTTAGCTCGCTGCAACCTCTGCCTCCCAGGTTCAAGTGATTCTCCTGCCTTAGCTTCCACAGAGTAGCTGGGATGATGGGCAGTTGCACCACGCATGGATAATAGAGACAGGGTTTCACCATGTTGCCCAGGCTGGTCTCAAACTCAAGTGATCCTCCCACCTCTGCCTCCCCAAGTGTTAGGACTACGGGTATGAGTCACCATACCAGACCACAATACCCTTCTCTTCACCCAAGTCCTCATTTGACATCTTTGTGATGATTCTTGCCAAGCCCTCTCCTAGGAATCTTCTCTGGTTGTGCCGGGCGGACTCAAGCCCTTGTGTTCGGCCCCTCAGCACAGCACCTCACTCATATCTGTTCATGCTTTTCCCTGCTTCACAGGACCTCTGGCTACCCACCCAGTTGAGGACTGCATAAGATACGTGTTTAGTTCACAGAATGGCTGAATTAATAATAATAAATGAAAAATAAGGAACCAACTGTTGCACAAATCAGTGAGGACTCTTGAACACAAGGGCCAGAACCCTCAATCTGAATGATGTAAATCAAAAAAGGAGTGAGGGTAGGCCCCTCCAGAGTGGTTGGCGAATTCTCAGAGGACTGAGTAATGCTTGTGTATCAGGCATCAAGGGTGGTGCATGTCAACTTCTCACCATTCACTGGCCGATGACTGGGAAACATGAATGAGACTCATTCCCTTCTTCCTGGTCCCCAAATCCCTTCTTCCTGGTCTCAGTAGGAACCGCCCTCCACTCATTTGTGCAAGCCACACATCTGGAGGCCATCCTTCACTCTGTCCAGCTTCGCTCCATCAGCGAGTCTTGTGGGGTCCGCCTTCCCAAGTCTCTCTGGTCCAGGCCCCACATCTCCCACCTGGCCCCTGCCTCTTCACGCCCCGCTTCCTATCCTCTCTCCGCATCGTGCGCCCCGAAGATTCACGGCACTTATGTATCTCAAATTTAAAGTGTGGCGAGTCCTTGCCTTCCCATCCTCCCCTCTAAACGCCCTGAAGACAGGCGTTAGGGCTGTCTCCATCAAATCCCCCCCACCCCCCGGCCTAGCACAGGATCAGAACGTGCACGTGTTCCAGAAATGTTCAATCTGCGAAACAACGACGGGCTGCAGAGCCAAATGGCCCTGGGGTCAAGTCCACCTCCCTGCCTCCCGCCTTGGGCTCTCCGGCGGGTGCATGTTCCCAAGCTCCCCAATTGGTTCCTCCGCGCGCTAGTTTGCTCATCACGGGTGCAAAAGTGCAGAAAGTTCCAGAACCACGCCGGCCGGACACCAATTCTGGCTCTATCACTGACACTCTGGGTGACCAGTCGCCCTGGGCCTCAGTTTCCTAGTCTGCAACGCGGGGTATTAACAGTGAGCACCCAAGGGATTGGAGAGGTCACACGGGCCCACGTGGTCCCCACGCAGGTGTGATTATCAGGAATTCGTATTTTTATGGAATGCATCCTCCTCCGCCAAGGCCAAGGCCAGGGTCCAGCAGAGACGGCCGGGAAGACACCGCAAGCTCGCCACAAGGCGCCGGCTACGCTCGGCTGCGCGCCCGCGCCCGCGCACCTACTACGCGCCCGGCCCGCTCTCCGCCCCCTCCAGGCTCCGCCCCGACCCCGCCCTCCAGGCTCCACAGCCAATGAGTGCGCGGCCCCGCATCCGGGGATCCCGGCGCGGCCACCGCCTCCCGCGCACACACGGCCATGGCGGAGGTGAGTGAGCGGGCCGGGGGAGCCGGCCCCCCGCCCCCGCGCGTCCGCGCCCCCCGCAGCCGTGGCTCTGCCTCGCAGTGGGCCCCGGGGACAGAGAGCCCCGCTCTGGAGCTCTGAGGCCGGCCGGGGCGCCTGGCCCTTCCGGGGCCGGAGGGGCGCGGGGCTCCGTCGGCGGCCGCCCCCGGCCCGGCCCCCCCCACTCCCCCGGCTGCCACATCGCGGGCTGCAGTGCGCATGCGCGGCGGCGCGGGGCGGGCGGGGGCCGGAGTGGGGGAGGGGAGGGACGCGGGGCGGGGCCGGGGTCTGGGGTCCGGTGGGCGCGCGGCCCCGCTCCAGGGTCCGACTCCCGTTCCCGGCCCCGGCCCCGCGGCGCGCAGGCCTCCCCTCCCGCGCGTTTGCCAACTTTGCCAAGTGCTGGGGCCGCCGGGCGCCCCGCGCTCCCCGTCGGGATCCCGGTGGACCCACCGCGCCAACGCCGCCCGCGAGCCCCCCGGCGGGGCTGGGTCAGACCCAGGGCGGGATTTGAACCCCCGACGCGGACCCGCCTGGCACAAACTGGGCGCAGGGTGGGTGGGTCCGCCGGGGCCTAGAGAGCGTCGGGGCTGATCTCAGCAGAGTTGGACCAGCCTCTCCCGGGCACGAAGTTACTTCTGGAGCCTCCTCCCTCGTCCTGGAAACAAGCCGGGGGCCAGCTATATTTTGGAATCCAGAATTTTTGCGATTTGAGGATCTGTGGGATTTTGGACTGTGATGTTTGATCACACACACCTAGGACTGTCTAGGATAAGACAACAGATAGCTTCGTGTCAGGTCAAACCAGGAAGGAAGAAACTTCCGCTTTTGGAGCTTTTTTGGATGTCGGAGTGGTGGGTGAGCCTGTGTGGACTTAACTTTCACCTTAGAGGGTCCCGGTGACGACGGAAAGAGAGAATGTAGGCGAAGGCGCGGCGGCTGCGAGGTGTCAGTCGGTGGGACTCAGTGCATGACTTGTGTGTGCAGAAGTTAAGACAGGCAGGCAGACTCAAGAGCGGATCCTGTCTGGGCCGCAGGGGCCCGTAGGAAAAGGTGCCCACCCAGCCGGGCACAGCCGCCTCATGGGAAGCCGGGGTTGGAACTGCGGCCTGGCCCTGGTGCCACGTTGCGTGTTTATGTCTTGGCACCATACGAGTGGGTGTTGTGGAAGGCAGGCCTGGCCATTCTCTCCCCCTGGTGACGACCTCAGGGGCAGTAGCAGGCCCTGTGTTTGTGCCAGAGACAGGGTAGGTGTCTCGATGCTAGGCCAGATCTCACCAGGCAGATCTCCTTCATCAAGAGTGAGTTCTTGGCCGGGCGCGGTGGCTCAAGCCTGTAATCTCAGCACTTTGGGAGGCCGAGACGGGCGGATCACGAGGTCAGGAGATCGAGACCATCCTGGCTAACACGGTGAAACCCCGTCTCTACTAAAAATACAAAAACTTAGCCGGGCGAGGTGGCAGGCGCCTGTAGTCCCAGCTACTCGGGAGGCTGAGGCAGGAGAATGGCGTGAACCCGGGAGGCGGAGCTTGCAGTGAGCTGAGATCTGGCCACTGCACTCCAGCCTGGGTGACAGAGCGAGACTCCGTCTCAAAAAAAAAAAAAAAAAGAGTGAGTTCTTTTGGAGGAGACGTTTAGAGAGACAGTCCCCATGCGGATGGTGGCTGGCCTCCAGGCTCGGAGGCAGAAGCCGCGTCTCCCAGTGGCCCTGCAGCGACGTGGTTGTCCAATGAGTTGTGCTCCTGGCATCTTTGCTGGGAGTGGGGTGGCATTTGGGCAACACACATGGCCTCGCAGGTAGCTCCATGTCTGGGATGGCACAAGTCAGACTCCCAAGCCAGCCTCCCCCAGACCTGCCGTGTGGCTGTTCCGCCCTGCGCTGAGCTCCTTGTGGTCTGGCTGCTCCTGGTAACCCTGTTTTACAGTTTGGGGTGGTGCCCTGTCGAGTGAATTTGATTTTTTTTTTTTTTTTTTTTTGAGACGGAGTCTTGCTCTGTCGCCGGGGCTGGAGTGCAGTGGCCGGATCTCAGCTCACTGCAAGCTCCGCCTCCCGGGTTTACGCCATTCTCCTGCCTCAGCCTCCCGTGTAGCTGGGACTACAGGCGCCCGCCACCTCGCCCGGCTAGTTTTTTTTGTATTTTTTTAGTAGAGACGGGGTTTCACCGTGTTCGCCAGGATGGTCTCGATCTCCTGACCTCGTGATCCGCCCGTCTCGGCCTCCCAAAGTGCTGGGATTACAGGCTTGAGCCACCGCGCCCGGCCTGAATTTGATTTTTCTAAGGCGGTCCTGCTCTGTCCTCAGCCTGAGGATCTCGCAGTGAATGGAGCCGACAGGGCCTGTGCTACAGGGATCCAGAGTCTGGTCAGAGAGAGAGGTGGATGGGTTCGGACCAACTAGTGTGAGGACGCTGAGCGTGAGGAGCCGTGGCAGCCTCTCTGACCACCGGACTTGTTCTGTGTGGTCTTGGGCAGGCTGCCCAGTGACGCAGAACTTCCTTTCCCTCATCTCTGAAATGGGAAGTTAATGGTCGATCTTCAGAGCTAGGAGGTCTGATGAGGTCCTGCCGCAATGGCTTGTACATACAAGTTGAACCTTGTGAAGTTGACAATATTCCGCTGTTTTTAACCCATAAAAATGGCAATTTGCAACTTAATAGCACATAATCAGTACTAGTTACTTTATTATGTATCAGTATCCCAGAATAATCATAAGCACCAGAGTGGCAAACGGGAATGCTTCATACTCTACTAGATTAATCTTTAAAAAACCTAAGAGCACTGGCCGGGCGCGGTGGCTCAAGCCTGTAATCCCAGCACTTTGGGAGGCCGAGACGGGTGGATCACGAGGTCAGAAGATCGAGACCATCCTGGCTAACATGGTGAAACCCCGTCTCTACTAAAAAATACAAAAAACTAGCCGGGCGAGGTGGCGGGCGCCTGTAGTCCCAGCTACTTGGGAGGCTGAGGCAGGAGAATGGCGGGAACCCGGGAGGCGGAGCTTGCAGTGAGCTGAGATCCGGCCACTGCACTCCAGCCTGGGCGACAGAGTGAGACTCCGTCTCAAAAAAAAAAAACAAAAAACCTAAGAGCACGGTCTTTTGCTCTTGCCTAAAACCATCCACGGCTTTTCATGCTCCCTGGGATAAAATGGTCCTCCTTGCTGAGTCCCGCAGCCCTGTGGGGTGGTCCCCACTGATCCCCCGAGTCTAGGGCCCTGGGCTCCTGTTTGCTGGTGCACTCTACCCCTTTGGGCGCTGCCAACGAATGGTTCAACCTCTACTCAGGCCCCCCAGGCCTTCCCTGACCCACAGTTGCAGAGCTCCTGCGCCCTGTTTTCTCTTCTCGGTGCCATACATGTCCACTCGTTTGTTATCTGTGTCCAAAACTAGCAACACCATGTGGGTGGAGGCAGGTGGAACTTGTTTCTCGGGTTAACCACCTCGCCACTGCCTTGCTGAGCCCAGAGTGGGCGCCCAGGGTGCGTTGGTCAGACGGAGGAGTGGGATGCTGGGCGGTCCAGCAAAGGCCTGGCACTTGAGTTGGTGTGGATGGGGAGGAGGGTCAAGCATGGTCTTAGGAGGAGGAGGTTCCAGTCACACTGGGGAGAGTTTGTGGCATGGGAGGGGTAGGTGCAGCCATCTTGGCGAATGGAACCTGCCGCCCTGTCCTGTGGGGTTAAGCTTACAAGGGTGGCCCCTTGTGTTTTCTGGTGCAGTCTCCACCTTTGGGGGCTGCCCTGGGAGAAGGGCTGGTCTGTGCTCTGCACTCAGGCCTCTGGTGCAGGCTTTATGCTGAGCAGCTGCCTGCTGCTTCTGCTCCCTGAAGACCCTGGTGGATGCCTGGGTCTGTGGCCTGTTGTCCTCTGGACCTTGTTTCTAGAATGCTGTTTGCGCTTCCTTCGCTTTTTTTGTTGCCTGGAATACCCTTGGCCTGCTCCCTACCTTTTTCCTGCTTCCACTTTGAGAAAACAGAGGACTTTGTCTTTCCTGGGAGTGAACTCAGAGGGAAGCATGCGGAGTGTTCTCAGTGAGTGAAATAGGGTCTCTGGGAACCCACTTTGAGAGTAGACTTGCACCTGGACACCAGGCAGGGGCAGCAGGAGGAAGAAGATCCATGAAGTCCGTATTCCGTGTTAAGTTCCAGGAGCTCGGAGTCACCCGGAAATGAACTTGGGGATCCCAGGCTGCTCAGAGCCTCCCTGTTGGTGGCCCTTTGTCATTCCCAGCCGCTTCCCTCTTTGCCCTCCTCTGCCTTAGCTCTCCTGTTAAATGGCAAGTCAGATAAGGGCCAGATCCTCCTCAGACCCTGCAGACCGCCTCTCCGGGGGCTCGGTGTGGATCTCGAGCCTGCGGGGTTGTTGTCAACTCGCCGTCCGGACTGGGGCCTCGTTTGATGTGGTCGCTTGCCTGCCCCTTGTTAGGCTCCTGGTTGCAGGAGTAGAAAGCCAGCCCCTGACTGAGGCAGGAACTGTTGCCCAGAGAGCCTGCCTCGACCCCTACCCAGAGGGTGCTAGAGAGGACCGAGGGTGATTGCAGAGGTCACTTAGGATGCTGTCACTGTGGCGTCACACCGCGTGTGGCTGTGCGGAGTGGTTGTGGCTGGTGGCCACCTGCTGTGTCCTGAGAGAGGTGAGGCCATCTCGGTGGGACCCGGACCAACCCCAGGCAGGAGGCGTGAGTTGCCCCTGCAGCTGCCATGTGCTCTGTGCCACTTGCTTCAAGTCCCCGTGGCCCCTTCCCACTGGGGGCCCTGCTGGCTCTTCCTTCCCTCTGCCTTCTGTGTGCCCTCTGCCACCACAGAGCTCAGCTTTCTGAAGTTGGATGGGTGGTGTCACTCTCCACTTCTCCTCGGTCCTTGCCGGCCTTGTTGCCGGAGTCACTCCAGGCCCAGTGACTGCCCCAGCTCCCTTCCGTGGCTTTGCTGGACAGTTGACCCTTTAACCTCACGGGCTTGAACTGCACGGGTCACTGATACGTGGATTTCCTTCCACCTGTGCCACCTGAGACAGCAGGACCAACCCCTCGTCTTCCTCCTCAGCCTGCTCAGTGTGAAGAGGAGGAGAACGAAGACGTTCGGGATGGTCCACTCCCACTTGGTGAATAGGGAGTATACTTTCTCTTCCTGACAATTTTGTTCGTAACTTTTTCTGTAGTTTCCTTTTTTTGTGAGAATACAGTACATAATACAACATACGAAATACATATTTATCAACTGTTGATGTTATCAGTAATGCTCCCGACCAACAGGAGGCTATCAATAAAGTTTTGGGGGGTCAGAAGTTATGCGGGGGTTTTCACTCGTGTGGAGGGTTGGCACCCGTAACCCCCGCATTGTTCAAGGGTCAATTGTGCTCCCCTTTGTGCTCCCCAGTGTGACGGGCCGGAAAGGGTTTGCAGGCCGCCGGCCTGAGCTCCACTTTGTAACTGCACCACGCAACTTTCTGTGTGAGCTTGGGTAACTGACTCTATCTCTTTGAGCTTGGTTCCTTGTTTTTCTTATGAAGGGAATGATTATACCACCTCTGAGGACCTGTGAAGAAACGTTGCAATTCTTACTACACAAGTTTTTAAACTTCATTAAATATTTTAATCTACTCTTTTTGGCAACAGCTTTACTGAGGTATAATTCGTTTACCATACAGTTCACCATTTTAATGTGTCCAGTTCCGTGGTTGTTCGTGTATTCGCCAAGTGGTGCAGCCACCATCACAGTCAATTTTAGAACATTTTCATCACCCCAAAAGGAACCCCACACCCCTTAGTGGTCACTCCCCAAACCCCACATCGACCCCCAGCCCCTTTCCACCAGGAATCCATTTTCTGTCTCCACGGATTTGCCTGCTCTAGACATTTGGGATAAAATGAGTCATACGATGCGTGGCCTTTCGTGTCTGGCTGTTTTCAGGAGCAGGAGTCTTTTGAGATACGTCCACGTGGTAGTCGGTCGGTGCGTCCTTCCTCTGCCCGATTGCTAGACCTTTGTTTTGTTTTTGTCAGCTGATGGATATTAGGACCCTGACCTGGGCCACATGGTTAAATACTATTTAGCTTTTGGAGGAATTGCTGGACTGTTTTGCAGAGTGGCTGCATTATTTTCAGGGCACAGGAGAGTTCCAGTTTGTCCACATTCTTGACAACACTTGTTATTATCTGTCTTTTTGAGCACAGTTATTCTCTGATTAGGAAGTGGTATCACAGTGTGGATTTTGCTTGCTTTTCCCTGATTTACATTGAGCATCTTTTCCTGTGCTTATTGGCCATTTGTGTGTTCTCTTTGGAGAAATATCTGTTCAGATCCTTTGCCCATTTTTCAATGGGATTATCTTTTCCTTATTGAGTTGTAAAAGTTTTTTATATATTCTGAGAACAAGTTCCTTATCAGATAGATGATTTTTCAGGTATTTTCTCCTATTCTCTGAGTTGTCCTTTCACTATCTTGATAGCGTCCTTTGAAGCGCAAAAGTTTTTAATTTTGGTGAAGTTGTTTATCCGTTTTTGTTGTTAGTTTGTTTTTGGCCACTTGAGATTTTGGTGTCTTATCTAAGAAACCATTGCCAAATCCAGGGTCACAATTTTTTTTCCCCCACATTTGTAGATTCAGTCAAAAGGTTGCAAATATTTATCCATATATTTTCTCCTAAAAGTTGTATGGTTTTAGCTCTTATATTTAAGGGCTTTGATCCATTTTGAGGTAATTTTTGCATATGGTGTGAGATGGGGTCCACCTTCTTTCTTTTGCACGTGGATATTCCACTGTCCCAGTACCATTTGTTAAAGACTGTTCATTCCCCATGGAAATGTTTTGATACCTTTGTTGAAATGCAGTTGACTGTGAATGTGTGCGTGTATTTCTGGATTCTCAGTTCTAGTTCTTTGATATTTGTGCTGTCCTTATGGCAGTACCACAGTGTTTTTGCCGTGGCTTTGTGGTGAATTTTGAAATCGGGAAGTATTGTTTCAAGATTGTTTGGGCTGTTTTGGGTACCTTGAGCTTCCATTTGCTTTTTGGAATCAGCTCGTGGGTTTCTACAAAGAAGCCAACTAGGGTTCTGATAGAGATGGTGTTGAATGTGTCAATCAGTGGGGGCGTTGCTGTCTTAATGTTGTCTTCCCAGCCATGAACATGGGATGCCTTTTCATTCCCTTAGATCCTCCTTCTAACACTGCTTTGTTCACTCAGAGTATTCTACACATTTCACACTTCTCTTGATGCTATTGTAAATGGCATTGTTCTTTTTATATTTGTTGCTTTTATATAGAAATAAAATGGATTTATATGTATTAATTTTATGTACTGCATCCTTGCTGAACTCACTTTAGTTTGAACAGTTTTTCAGATCATGTCACCAGCACCCTCACAGAGATTGTGTTACTTCTTCCTTACCAATCCTTTTTTTTTTTTTTTTTTTTTGAGACGGAGTCTTGCTGTATCGCCAGGCTGGAGTGCAGTGGCACGATTTCGGCTCACTGCAACCTCTGCCTGCTGGGTTCAAGTGATCCTCCTGCCTCAGCCTCCCGAGTAACTGTGATGACAGGCACTCGCCATGCACCCAGCTAATTTTTATATTTTTAGTAGAGACAGGGTTTCACCTTGTTGGCCGGGATGGTCTCCATCTGTTGACCTCATGATCTGCCCACCTCGGCGTCCCAAAGTGCTGGGATTACAGGCGTGAGCCACCTCGCCCAGCCTTTTTTTTTTCTTTTTTTGAGATGGAGTCTTGCTCTGTTGCCCAGGGTGGAGTACAGTGGCATCATCTTGGCTCACTGCAACCTCTGCCTCCCTGGTTCAAGCAATTCTCCTGCCTCAGCCTCCTGAGTAGCTGGGATTAGAGGCACATGCCACAATGTCTGGCTAATTTTTTTGTGTTTTTAGTAGAGACACGGTTTCACCATGTTGGCCAGGCTGTTCTTGAACTCCTGACCTCAAGTGATCTGCCCGCCTAGGCCTCCCAAAGTGCTGGGATTACAGGCGTGAGCCAGCGTGCCTGGCTTCCTTACCAATCTTGATTCTTTTTATTTGATGTTCTTACACTGACTGCCCCCTCCGGCACTCCGTTTAGCATGAGAGGTGAGAGTACATGTTACGCTCATGGTGTGAAGGAGAAAGCAGCCTGCGACCGTTGAGGGCGATGATAAGTGGATAAGTGTGGGTTTGTCCGAGACGCTCTTTGTCAGGTTGAGAAGCTCCCTTCTGTTCTGAGTTTGTTGGGTATTTTTCGTTATGAAGTGTATTGGGTTTTGTTGGATTGGGTATGTTCAGATGATCCTGTGTTTTGGTTTTTATTTTATTGACGTGATGTATTAATTAACTGACTTTTGGATGTTAAATCGACCTCGCCTCCCTGCGATGAATCTTGCTTGGTCATGGCTTACAATCTTCTTTAGATGTTGTAGGGTTCAGTTTGCTAGTATGTTGTTGAGGGTTTTTGTGTTTATGTACATGAGAGATATGGTGACTTCTTGTGGTGGCTCACACCTGTCATCTCAGCGCTTTGGGAGGCCGAAGCGGGTGGATCACGAGGTCAGGAGTTTGAGACCAGCCTGGGCAACGTGGTGAAACCCCGTCTCTAGTAAAAATACAGACACTAGCTGGGCGTGGTGGCGGGCACCTGTAGTCTCAGCTACTCGGGAGGCTGAGAGAAGAGAATCACTTGAACCCGGGAGGCGGAGGTTGGCGCCACTGCATTCCAGCCTGGGTGACAGCAAGGCTCTGTCTCAAAGAAAAAAAAAAGAAAGATATTGAACATTGTGATAATGGTAACTTACATTGGTTTTGTTTGCCTTTTTATAAAAAAAATTGAGGTGATTGACAAACTATAAAATATACCCATTTTAAAGTTTATAATTCATTGATTTTTAGTGTATTCATGGCCCTGCAACCATCCCCTCTATCTAATTCTGAAACATTCCGTCATCCTCAGAAGCCCCGTCCCCGTTAGCAGTCACGCTCCCACTGGCTCTCTCCCTGGCTCCTTTCTGTCTGTGGATTGGCCTGTTCTGGATGTTTTGTATCAGTGGACCCTCCGCTGTGGCCGTTGGTGTCTGGCTTCCCTCCCAGCGCATGCTGTTCTTGAGCTGCGTCCAGGTTGCCACATGGGTCAGGACCGTGGCCTGTGTTAGGGCAGTTTTCAGTGTCATATGATGCATGTCCTGCCCTGGGCGAGAACGCCTCCACCCCGTGCGTGGTCCTTGGTGGGAGGCGGGACGAGCGGCGGCCACACACGTGTGCTGCCGTTAGTGCCCCCCAGCCCTCAGAGGTGGAGACAAAGCCGCTTCCCTGGGTCACCGGGGACTGGGCTCTGACCAGCGCTTGCTCTTGGCTGCCACACTGTGATGTCCAGCAGCAGGTTTTCGGCTGGCCGAGCTAACCCTGCCTCTCTTCCTTCGCAGGCCTCCTCGCTGGGGAGGCAGAGTCCTCGCGTGGTCTCCTGCCTCGAGCACAGCCTGTGCCCCGGGGAGCCTGGCTTGCAGACAACAGCAGGTACCTTCCTTCCTCCTCCCCCTGCTCAAGTCCGCTGAGGCCTTTGTGGCTGTGAGAGACAGAATACCTGCTGGGTCTGGCTGAGCTGTGGACCAGCGCACTGGCTTCCAGAGTCCAGAGTGTCCCAGCTCCCACCCGTTCAGATGGAGCTGTGGGGCGGAGTGGTCAGGACTCCGTCGTCCTGTTCTTTAGCAGGGGCCGGGAGCCCCGGCCGCACCCCCAGCGGAGGCCCCAGGCGCAGCTGCACCGAGCTGAGGCTGCTTTACCTCGCCAGGGGGTCGGGAAGGGGCGGCTTGCTGAGGGAGCCGGGGCTGAGAAGGTGGGGGGTGGCGCGACAGGCAGCACCCCGGGTTCCCTGCACCTTCCCGCGCTGCTGCTTGCCCAGTGGGCATCAAGGTCCCATGCCCGCCTCCTGGCCACCTGTGTTGGGCCCACGGGGAGGAGGTGATGCTGTAGGGCAAGGGTCTCTGTGACTGTTCTTTCTTCCCCTGGCTGGGCTCCTTCTGCGGGCCTCTGGCCCCGCAGCTGCATGTTCTGTGCATGGGCTGTGTGTGGTGCACACCTGTGTGCCCAGCCGTGCAGGCTGTGCGGCTGCCCTAGAGGCCTCCTGCCCTGGGCTCCCAGGCCCTCAGGCTTGCAGCCTTGGGCTACACTGCTCCCTGTCTGGATTGATTGAGCCCCAGCTGTTTCCTTTGTTTGCTTAAAAATTTGCCTAATTGGAGACTAAACATGCTGAGGAATGGTGACACACCCCTGTTCTTTTGGGGAAACCCTGGATCTGATGACAGCGGCCGTCTGTTGGGCCGTGTACCTCGCATGTCTGCCGTATGTGACCCTGCAGATGGAGCATCAGGGACTGGCGTTGTCGAGGCCCCATTGGTGCCGTCCCTGCATGCTCCTTGATGCTGTACTGAGCTGTGCAGGTGAGAGTTCAGCGTCCCCCCGTGTGAGGAGTCGTGGAGCCCGGTGTGAACCCAGCTCCACTGAGTCCTGCTGCTCCTTCCACCCTAATGAGACAGATGTCGGTCTCTTTCCAGTCCACTCGCTCCCCAAACCCTCGCAGGCTTCTCTGTTCAGGAAGACAGGCAGTCTCTCAGAAAGAGACACCCCCGCCCCCCCAAAAAATCCTTAGACTGTGTGTGCAGCTCAGCAGCCGTGCTCCTGTGTGCGTCCGTCGTGGGGCGTCCTGTCGGGTCCCCTCGTGGGAGGCTGATCCTGGCAGCGTGCAGAGGGCCTCATCCCTCGGGCTCCTCCTACCCCAGGCGTCTGTAGTCTCGGCAGGATGGTTGGGACGGGTGAGGCAAGGTGCTCACGTGGGCTGCTGTCTTCTCCCCAGTGGTGTCCATGGGCTCTGGAGACCATCAGTTCAACCTCGCAGAGATCCTGTCACAGAACTACAGTGTTCAGGGAGAGTGCGAGGAGGCCTCGAGGTGCCCAGAGAAGCCCAAGGAGGAGCTGGAGAAGGACTTCATCTCCCAGGTACTTGGCCGAGGTGATCCCGCCCCTGTGTTGGGTGGAGCCCTCGGGGGTAAGCCTCACAGTTTCTGTGCGGCTCAGATTCCGCATTGGTAAGTGCCAAATTGTACATCTTTTTGCAAAGTGCCAGATGCTGTCCTAGGAGCTGAAATTCAGGTGAAAGACCAGGTCTTTCATGGGGCTGTCTGAGCAGTACAGTGGTCAGGGATTAAGCCAACTGCTCTCAAATCTTCTGGTCTCAGAACCCACTTTGTACTCTTAAAAATTATTGAGAGTTTCAGGCCGGGCGCGGTGGCTCACGCCTGTAATCCCAGCACTTTGGGAGGCCGAGGCAGGCGGATCACGAGGGTGGGAGATCGAGACCATCGGTGAAACCCCGACTGTACTAAAAATACAAATAATTAGCCGGGCGTGGTTGGGGGGCATCTGTAGCCCCAGCTACTCGGGAGGCTGAGGCAGGAGAATGGCGTGAACCCTGGAGGTGGAGCTTGCAGTGAGCCAAGATTGCACCACTGCACTCCATCCAGCCTGGGAGACAGAGTGAGACTCCGTCTCAAAAAACAAAACAAAACAAAACAAAAAAAACTAGGCTGAACGCAGTGGCTCACGCCTGTAATTCCAGCACTTTGGGAGGCCGAGGTGGGCAGATCACGAGGTCAGGAGATCGAGACCATCCTGGCTAACATGGTGAAACCCCGTCTCTACTAAAAATACGAAAACAAAATTAGCCGGGTGTGGTGGTGGGTACCTGTATTCCCAGCTACTCGGGAGGCTGAGGCGGGAGAATGACGTGAACCCCAGGAGGCAGAGCTTGCAGTGAGCTGAGATCGTGCGCCACTGCACTCCAGCCTGGGCCACACAGCAAGGCTCCGTCTCAAAAAAAAAAAAAAAGAATACAAAATTAGCCAGGCGTGGTGGTGCACGTCTGTAGTCCTGGATACTCGGGAGGCTGAGGCAGGAGAATCACTTGAACCTGGGAGGTGGAGGTTGCATTGAGCTGAGATCACGCCATTGCACTCCAGCCTGGGCGACAGAGTGAGATCCTTTCTCAAAAAAAAAAAAAAAAATGGAGAGCTTCGAGGGGCTTTGTTAATGTGCTTTATCTATTGCTTTTTTATTATATGAAAAGTTAAAACTGACATAAATTGGCTGGACGTGGTGGCTCACGCCTGTAATCCCAACACTTTGGGAGGCCGAGGTGGGCAAATCACCAGGTCAGGCGTTTGAGCCTAGCCTGGCCAACATAGTGAAACGCTGTCTCTACTAAAAATACAAAAATTTTCGGGCGTGGTATCTCACACCTGTAATCCCAGCACTTTGGGTGGATCTCTTGAGCCTAGGAGTTTGAGGCCAGCCTGGGCAACATAGCAAGATCTTGTCCCAAAAAAAATAAATAAATAACAGGCCAGGTGCAGTGGCTCACGCCTGTAATTCCAGCACTTTGGGAGGCCGAGGCGGGTAGATCACCTGAGGTCAGGAGTACAAGACCAGCCTGACCAATGTGGTGAAACCCCGTCTCTACTAAAAATACAAAAATTAGGTGGCCGTGGTGGTGGGCGCCTGTAATCCAGCCAGTCAAGGGGCTGAGGCAGGAGAATCACTTGAACCTGGGAGGCAGAGGTGGCAGTGAGCCGAGATCGGGCCATTGCACTTCCAGCCTGGGGGACAGAGCAAGACTCTGTCTCAAAAAAAAAAATTGACATGTAAAAATACTTATTCAGTAACTCATTTTAAAATGACATGAATAAATCAGTTACATGTTAATATAAATATTTTTATGAAAATGAAAAAAAATTCTGTACCAAAAGAAAAAAATTAGTGAGAAGAATTAATTTTTAGTTTTCCAAATGTCTTTGAACGGAGAAGCCAATGTGAAAATCCAACTTCTGTCCTTTTTTTATGAGTTGGAGTCTCGCTCTGTTTCGCAGGCTGGAGTGTAGTTGGTGCGATCTCGGCTCACTGCATCCTCCGCCTCCTGGGCTCAAGCGATTCTCCTGCCTCAGCCTCCCGAGTGGCTGGGACCACAGGTGTATGCCACCACGCTCGGCAAATTTTTGTATTTTTAGTAGAGACGGGGTTTCACCATGTTGGCCAGGCTGGTCCCAAACTCATGACCTCGTGATCCACCCAGCTCGGCCTCCCAAAGTGCTGAATCACAGATGTGAACCACCGCGCCTGGCCAAGCTTCTGTCTTTAAAAAACTTACTTTTTTTGAGACAGGATCTCACTCTGTTGCTTAGGTTGGAGTGCAGTGGTGCAATCATAGTTTATGGCAGCCTCGAACTCCTGGGCTCAAGGGATCCTCCTGCCTCAGCCTCCTGAGTAGCTGGGACTATAGTCGCACGCCACCGTGCCTCACCAACTTTTTTATTTTATTTTTTGTAGAGTTCTTGCTATGTTGCTAGGGCTGGTCTTGAACTCTTGGTCTCAAGCAGTTTTTCTGCCTATAGGTGTGAGCCACTGTACCTGACCCAGTTTCTGTCTTTTTCTTTTATTTGAGACAGAGTCTTGCTCTGTTGCCCAGACTGGAGTGCAGTGGCGCCATCTCGGCTCACTGCAACCTCTACCTCCTGGGTTCAAGTGATTCTCCTGCCTTAGCCTCCTGAGTAGCTGGGACTACAGGCGCCCACCACCATGCCTGGCTAACTTGTAGTTTTAGTAGAGATGAGGTTTTACCATGTTGGCCAGGCTGGTCTCGAACTGCTGACCTCAGAGTGATCCTGCCACCTCAGCCTCCCAAAATGCTTGGAATACAGGCAGGAGCCATGTCCGGCCAGTTTCTGTCTTTTAAGGGAGACGTTAATCTCTTGTGATAGGCTCTTATGGTTGAAGTACAAACATAGCCTCAGATCTGTTGTTGAAAAAAGTAAGTATTTAACAGCTTTTCAGATAATTGTGGGTATCTTCCTTGATGCTAACAGCCAAACTCATCAAGTGGGAGTTTTGTAGAGAGTAGTTGTGGAATCTGAGACCGTATCAGTGAACCTCATTGTTCAAGAGGCAGAAAAGTCCATGACCAGCGTCCAACTGAGTGGGTTCTGGTGCTGGCTCTCTCACTGGCTCGCTGTGTCCTTGCAGGGTGGACAGAGAACAAGAGGGAGCCCTCTGGTGTTTTTGTTAAAAGGACACTAATCCTGTTGGATCAGGGCCCCACCCTCATGGCCTCGTCAAACCTTAATTACCTCTGTAAAGGCCATATCTCCAACTATAGTCATGTTGGGGGTTGAGGTTGACTGTAACAGTTAATACCACCACCAGCCTTATCACAAGTTTTTTAAATATTGGAAAGTTGGCAAGTTCATGTTGTCAAACCTAAGTTTTTCAAAATCTTGGGTTTTACCTGTGGCAGTTACGGTCAGCTGTTTCCTTTGAAGTAACAGCCCCCTGGCTTGCATACAAGGCAGCGCCTGCCAGGTGCCTGTCTAAGCGACTGTAGTTGGCCAGCATTCTTTGAGGTGAAACGACCAGGAACAGCCTCTTCGCCTCACCACTCATTCCATGCATGTGGTTCCTTGAAGGAACCACCTCGCTTTGGTATGCAGCAGGTGCATGCTGCATGCTTCCCACGCCCTCACAGCACATGGAAACATCTGCGCAGGATGAGACTTAACAAAATGCTCATTTTGTCCAGCACCTTCTTTTATTGTTTTTTGAGATGGAGTCTTGCTCTCGTCACCAAGGCTGGAGTGCAGTGGCGCGATCTCGGCTCACTGCAAACTCTGCTTCCAAGGTTCAAGTGATTCTTCTCCCTCAGCCTCCCGAGTAGCTGGGATTACGGGAACCCACCACCGCGCCTGGCTAATTTTTGTATTTTTGGTAGAGACAGGGTTTCTCCATGTTGGCCAGGCTGGTCTCAAACTCCTGATCTTGTGATCCACCTGCCTCGGCCTCCCAAAGTGCTGGGATTACAGGCGTGAGCCACCGTGCCCGGCTGTCCATGCAGCATCCAGCATCTTCTGAAGTGAAGCTGGGGTGTTTGCTTTTGTTCTGTGAGGAATGTGACAGCAGTGACAGCAGGGGTGCACCGGCCGTGGCTTCCACAGAGCCCTGGGCTCTTGCCGGCTGCCAATGCTGCACCATCAGTGCAGGCATCAATGAAGCCAAAAACAGAAATCACGGCTGAGTGTTCTTAGGAAAGGGGCTTCACCTCGGGCTACTCTGGAAAGGTCCAGGCAACCCAAGGGCCTCTGGACCAGTGTGTCAGCCCTCCCGCCTGCATAATCCTGAAGGTAATGGGCATACAGAATCTGTTCTGTCCACGGGGTCCTGTGAGAACAAAAGGGGGACTCGGTGCAGATGTTCCACCTGGGGAAGGGCTGGGACTAGGCTGGGAAGTTTCTTTCTTTTCTTTTCTTTTTTTTTTTTTTTGAAACGGGGTCTCGCTCTGTCGCCCAGGCTGGAGTGCAGTGGCGCGATCTCGGCTCACTGCAAGCTCCGCCTCCCGGGTTCCCGCCATTCTCCTGCCTCAGCCTCCCGAGTAGCTGGGACTACAGGCGCCGCCACCACGCCTGGCTAGTTTTTTTTATTTTTAGTAGAGACGGGGTTTCACTGTGTTCGCCAGGATGGTCTCGATCTCCTGACCTCGTGATCCACCCGTCTTGGCCTCCCAAAGTGCTGGGATTACAGGTGTGAGCCACCGCGCCCAGCTAGTCTGGGAGATTTCTATGTGAACTTGAAGCCCCCAGGATGAGTCTGGGCAGGAGCTGGGGTGGAGGGGAGGCCAGTGCTGACATCTTGAGAGAATGAGAGGGAGTGTTCAGGAAGTTGGAAGCTGAAAGTGTGACCCACAGGGGTCAGGGTAGAGTCTGAGCCGGCAGGACTAGCCTCTGTGGAGTAGAGGCTCACACAAGGGAGGACAGAAGGCTTTGAAAGCAACGGTGGAGAGAATGATAGTTCGTATCTCTTCCTTCCTAGGAATTACACACCTTATTGCTACTTGTCATGTTGCGTTGGCTTAGAGCATCACAACAGTGTTTCTTCTTTTTTTTTTTTTTATTTTGAGACAGATTCTCACTTTGCCACCCAGGCTGGAGTGCAGTGGTGTGATCTTGGCTCACTACACCCTCCATCTCCCGAGTACAAGTGATTCTCATGCTTCAGCCTCCCGAGTAGCTGAGACTACAGGCGGGCGCCACCAAGCACAGCTAATTTTTGTATTTTTAGTAGAGATGGTTTTGCTATGTTGCCCAGGCTGGTCTCGAACTCCTGGCCTTAAGTGATCCGCCTGCCTTGGCGTCCCAAAATACTGGGATTACGGGTGTGAGCCACTGTGTCTGGCTTATTTGTGTAGTTTTCTGAGGGTTCTTTTTTTTTTTTTTTTTTAAATGAGGAATAGAAGTCAGATTTTACCAAATGCCTTTTTCAGATACCTTTTTTCACCTTTGATATATTGATGTGGAATTACAATAGTAAATTGCTAGATGTCACAGCATCCTTGTATTCTTGTAATTCACCCTGTGTCGCACCATCCTTGTATTCCTGTAATTCACCCTGTGCAAGGAGGCATTGTGGGCAGGGTGGTGCCCTCTTCCCTGGCCGGTGACCCCTAGGCTCTGGTGCCTCTCTGAGGGATTGTGAGGGAGCTCTTGGATGAAAGACTGGGCCTGAGGTCTGCCTGGAGAGTGCTGCCATGCGGAGAGTTGCTGTGGGTGTGACAGAGTGGCCCTGGTTGTGGCCAACGAGGCTCAGGCAAGAGGACGGGGACAAGAACCCCCAGAGCAGTCCTTCCTGATGGGGCCCTGTTCCCTTCCCCAACTCAGAGCAACGACATGCCCTTCGATGAGCTGCTTGCACTCTATGGCTACGAGGCATCAGACCCCATTTCAGACCGGGAGAGTGAGGGTGGTGACGTGGCCCCTGACCTCCCGGACATGACCCTGGACAAGGTGAGTGAGCGCCCTTCCTGGAACTGGCCCCCAGCAGAAGGTGGGGGGGCCTGGGGCTGCCTCTCTGCAAGGGGGTGTTCAGTGAGAAGAGGCACAAAGGCCCCCAGAACAAGTAGAATGTAGCTACCTGTGACCACTCCCCCGGGGTTGGAATGGCCACGGGCATGGGGCTGGACCCTAGCCTTAACCCCGGGCCACAAGTCATTCTGGCTTGGGTGGGTGGAGGGGCACATCGGGGCCTCCCCAGGACTAGTCTTTCTGCCATTCCATACCCAGAGGTCACAGGTTGAGAGTTGAACGGTGTTGGGAGCAGGGGAGGGCTGCATTGCAGAAGGTTAAAACCAAATGCACGGGCAGAGAAAGAGCCACGCACTCTGGGCACGTGCCCCTGTCTCCAGCTCTGGTGACGGGGTGTGGGCTCCCACGTGTCCCCGTCTCATCCCTGCTCCCCCGATGCTGTGCACCCTCAGTGGTGTCTCCACCTCCGTTTCCTTATCTGCAGAATGGGAACAGCGGCCCCACGTGAGCCTCAGGGCCCTCCCAGTTCTTTATTGTTGTTGTCATTAGTGATGTTGCGAGATTGTTAAACTGTAAAATGTTCTTTACTTTTTTTTTTTTTTTTTTAAAGGAACAAATAGCAAAGGATTTGCTTTCAGGGGAAGAAGAGGAAGAGACACAGTCATCTGCTGACGACCTCACCCCGTCCGTGACCTCCCACGAGGCCTCCGACCTCTTCCCTAACCGGAGTGGATGTAGGTGACTCTGTCCCCATCCTCCACCGCAGCCAGGCCCGCTGCCAGGCAGTCGTGATGCTTGACGAAGGGTCCTTGGGCTGACACAGGCCAAGAGCTCATCACAGTTGAGGGCATCTGCCTGGTGGGAAGTGTCAGTAGCCCTGGGGGTGCTTTGTTCTCCCCTGCGCTGGCCAGTGAGCCTGGACTCTCAGAGCGGTTCGGTTTAAACAAGCAGGGAACGTGTTGGTTCCCCTAGCAGATCCAGGGACAGCATCCCCAGAACCGTCCTCCCTCACAAGCCTCTGTGCTGGCTTTCCTGGGAGCTGAGGGCTCGGGGCCCCGCGGTGCAGCCGCCGCCTAGAACGGAAGGCCTCTTTCTTCAAAGGTGCATCCTGGGTCGTGGGTCCCGGGCCCATCTGTGTACCCAGCGTCTGGCCAGGGAGAGGGTCACGGCCTGGGGATCAGGCGGATGGAGAGTGGGAGTGGAGGGTCTTTGCCCAGAGGAGGGGTTGTACGGGCTGCAGGACCCTGGGGGACCTGCCTCTGTTTTCCCAAAGCTCATTTCCTGGCTGATGAAGACAAAGAGCCTGGCTCTTCTGCCTCCTCCGACACCGAGGAGGACTCTCTTCCTGCCAACAAATGTAAGAAGGTGCGTGGCTCTGCCGTGTCCCCAGCCCGGCATCCCGGCCGTGGCTCTGCGGTGTCCCCAGCCCGGCATCCCGGCCGTGGCTCTGCCCTGTCCCCAGCCCGGCATCCCGGCCGTGGCTCTGCCGTGTCCCCAGCCCGGCATCCCGGCCGTGGCTCTGCGTGTCCCCAGCCCGGCATCCCGGCCGTGGCTCTGCCGTCTCCCCAGCCCGGCATCCCGGCCGTGGCTCTGCGGTGTCCCCAGCCCGGCATCCCGGCCGTGGCTCTGCCGTGTCCCCAGCCCGGCATCCCGGCCGTGGCTCTGCCGTCTCCCCAGCCCGGCATCCCGGCCGTGGCTCTGCCGTCTCCCCAGCCCGGCATCCCGGCCGTGGCTCTGCCGTCTCCCCAGCCCGGCATCCCGGCCGTGGCTCTGCCGTCTCCCCAGCCCGGCATCCCAGCCGTGGCTCTGCGGTGTCCCCAGCCCGGCATCCCGGCCGTGGCTCTGCGTGTCCCCAGCCCGGCATCCCGGCCGTGGCTCTGCGGTGTCCCCAGCCCGGCATCCCGGCCGTGGCTCTGCGGTGTCCCCAGCCCGGCATCCCGGCCGTGGCTCTGCGGTGTCCCCAGCCTGGCATCCCGGCCGTGGCTCTGCGGTGTCCCCAGCCTGGCATCCCGGCCGTGGCTCTGCGGTGTCTTCAGCCTGGCATCCCGGCCGTGGCTCTGCGGTGTCCCCAGCCCGGCATCCCGGCCGTGGCTCTGCGGTGTCTTCAGCCTGGCATCCCGGCCGTGGCTCTGCGGTGTCCCCAGCCTGGCATCCTGGCCGTGGCTCTGCCGTCTCCCCAGCCTGCCGTCCCGGCCACAGTAACCGAAGCTGGGTCCTGCTGAGCCCTCTCCCTGGGTTTGTGCCTCTTCTCAGAGGACGTGCTGCTCAACCTCAGGGTGGGCTGGGACCGGCCCCAGGTGCTTTGGACTGGAGCCTGGGTCCCTGCTGCTGACCCAGAGTGTTTGTCCTCCGACATCCTGTCTGGGTCTCTGCCAGGCCGGGTGTCAGGACACAGCCCCCTCACATACCCAGGCCTCTGCCTCCCACCCTCAGACCCCAGAACTGGACATCAGCAGGTAGACTGCACAGATGGGTCTGGGGTCTGGGCAGCGGCCCCTCCACCTGAGCCCGCCACAGCACGCTGCAGCCAGCCTCCCGCCCGGCTTGCGTGCTCCTCAGTGTCCTGATTCCCAGGCCCTTGCTTTGCAGGAGATCATGGTGGGACCTCAGTTCCAAGCTGATCTCAGCAACCTGCACTTGAACCGGCACTGTGAGAAGAGTAAGTAGGGCCTGGGGAGAGGAGGCGAAACCCACTTCTGCTGGGGAGTGGCCTGGCTGGACGTCGGACCCTCGAACAGTCTTGTCAGGTCCCCTGCCTGCGTCGCTCACTGGGGCAGCTGAGCCTGTGGCTGAGGAGGTGGGATGCTCTCTTGGCTGCAGTGGGCCTGTCGCTGCCTGCCCCTGCCCAGCTCGGTCCCTCAGAGTCTGCTTCCATCACCCTGCACAGCCAGACCCTCAGCAGCCCATCCTGCCCCTGACCCAGCCCTGCCCCGCCCTTGACTCCAGCCGTCTCCCCCCGGCCAGGGCTGCGGCGTTCGATGGCTCTGTGCCAGGTTAGACAGTTCTCCAGAGACCTGCCGGGTGTTGTGGTGCACCCCTGCCTTCTCCGCTCCTCTTCAGGGCACTCCCTTTCCTGGACCTGATCTTTGTCTCTTTCCCGCTAGAGTTCAGAACCGAGCCTCTCTTGCCCCTTCAAGGCATGGAGTCACGTGCCCGTTGACTTGGGTCTCGTGTGTCTTGCCCTGGAGCCCTCGCAGGCCCTGGGCCGGTGCTCCCAGCTCAGGAACCTTCTCCAGGGCGATTCAGTGGTTGAGGCTGGCGGTGGGAAGGGATAGGCAGGCGCAGCAGGAGTGCCGAGTCCAGGGAGACAGGGACCCTCCGTGAAGAGAAGCCATCCTCCTGGGGCTGGTGGGAGGTGCCCTGTGTGAGAAGAGGATGGAGCCAGGACGGCGCAGCCAAGCTGCTGGGACATCCAGAAGGCAGGGTCAGAGGGGACACATGGGACCCTCACCCAGAGTCCCTGGCCTTGGAGTCTGTTGTCAGGGCCCTTTCCCCACTCTGACTCACCCCCCCATGAGGGTGCCCTGTCCGGAGCAGCCAGAACTTCTTCCCATGGGATGCCAGCTGGCCCCTCCCCCTCGGTATAACGCCTGTGGCATTCGAGTCGTCTACGTGGTTGTGTGTGTCTTGTGTATTGCCCTGTGGCCCTTGGTTTGGATGCCGTGGTTGTGTGTGTCTTGTGTGTGGCATCCTGGTCCTTGGTTTGGATACCACATTTACCCACGCTTTCTTTTTTTTTTTTTTTTTGAGACGGAGTCTCGCTCTGTCGCCCAGGCTGGAGTGCAGTGGCCGGATCTCAGCTCACTGCAAGCTCCGCCTCCCGGGTTCACGCCATTCTCCTGCCTCAGCCTCCCGAGTAGCTGGGACTACAGGCGCCCGCCACCTCGCCCGGCTAGGTTTTGTATTTTTAGTAGAGACGGGGTTTCACTGTGTTACCCAGGATGGTCTCGATCTCCTGACCTCGTGATCCGCCCGTCTCAGCCTCCCAAAGTGCTGGGATTACAGGCTTGAGCCACCGCGCCCGGCCTACCCACGCTTTCTGCCGTGGGCTTTGGTCGCTGTTGATTCAGTTGTGGGCTGTGAACGCCCTCGTGTGCGTTGTTAGTGGACATAGGCACTTGGTACTTGATGGACAGCGGGGAGTTGCGTGGTGGATGTGTGCTTAGGGCCACGCCTGAGTTTCTCACTGGTGATTTGTGGGGGTCGGTGGTTGATGGACGACGGGGAGTTGCGTGGTGGATGTGTGCTTAGGGTCGCACTTGAGTTTCTCACTGGTGATTTGTGGGGGTCGGTAGTTGATGGACAGCAGGGAGTTGTGTGGTGGATGTGTACTTAGGGCCACGCTTGAGTTTCTCACTGGTGATTTGTGGGGGTCGGTGGTTGATGGACAGCAGGGAGTTGCGTGGTGGATGTGTGCTTAGGGCCACGCTTGAGTTTCTCACTGGTGATTTGTGGGGGTTGCTCCACATTCTCGGTGTTTGCCGCCGAGGGTGAATTTGCCTGAGTTTTACCCTCCTGGTGGATACGGACTTTTGTTCCATTGTGGCTTTAATTGGCATTTCCCGCCGGTGTCCTGGCCGTTTGAATGTTCTCTCTTTGCGTGCTCAAAGCTTTCCCCCGTTTTGGTGTCTTTCTCTTTCGGGTTTGTAGTCGTTCACATGTTCTGGAAACCAGTCTTGGTGGGCTCTGCTCCTGTGTCCTCCGGCTTGGGGCTTGCCCATTGACTCTCAGTGATGTCTTTAATTTTAATATAGTCCAACTTACCAATCTTTATTTGAATAATAATGTGTTTGTGTTCTATTTGAGGAGTGTTTGTTTACCCTCAGGCTCTCGACGATATTCTTCCATGCTTCCTTCTAGAAGATTTACTGTTTTTCCTTTCACATTTAAAGCTGTAATCCAACTTAGTTTAAATTTTGGTGCATGGTGGCCGGGCGGGTGGCTCACACGTGTAATTCCAGCACTTCGGGGGGCCAAGGCGGGAAGATTACTTGAGGTCAGGAGATTGAGACCAGCCTGGCCAACATGGTGAAACCCTGTCTCTACTGAAAATACAAAAATTAGCCGGGCGTAGTGGCGGGCGCCTGTAATCCCATTGGGAGACTGAGGTAGGAGAATTTCTTGAACCACGAGGCAGTGGTTGCAGTGAACTGAGATCGCACCACTGCACTCCAGCCTGGGCCACAGAGCGAGACTGTCTCAAAAAAATAAAAAGTAAATAAATTTTGGCGTGCGGCGTGAGGTGGTGTGAAGTATGGGTTAGGGTTAGGTATTTTTTTCCATGTGGCTGTGCATTTGCTCCAGCACCATCTACACCGTGAGGTGGTGTGAAGTATGGGTTAGGGTTAGGTGTTTTTTTCCATGTGGCTGTGTGGTTGCTCTAGCACCGTATATTGAAAAGACCATGGCTGGGCACGGGGGCTCACGCCTGTAATCCCAGCACTTTCGGAGGCTGAGGCGTGTGGATCACCTGAGGTCAGGAGTTCGAAACCAGCCTGGCCAACATGGCAAAACCTTGTCTCTACTAAAAATACAAAAATTAGCCGGGAGTGGTGACGCCCACCTGTAATCCCAGCTACTTGGGAAGCTGAGGCAGGAGAATCGCTTGAACCTGGGAGGCGGAGGTTGCAGTGAACTGAGATCACACCACTGAACTCCAGCTTGAGCGACAGAGCAAGACTCCGTCTCAAAAATAAAAACAACAAAGGCCCATTCCCTCCCCCACTGAGTTGCAGCGATGCGTTTGTGATAAGGTGCCTGTAGGTGTTTCTTGTCTCACCCCGAGTCATCACCATCGTCTCAGTTATTACAGGTTTACAGGGAAGTCCGAGGTGGTGCAGGTCTTCCAACTTTGTAAGTTTTCGTTGCATATCTATATCAGTTACTTATTTATTTATTTTTTTTGAGGCGGAGTTTCGCTGTTGTTGCCCCGGCTGGAATGCAATGGTGCGATCTGAGCCCACTGCAACCTCCGTCTCCCAGGTTTAAGCGATTCTCCTGCCTCGGTCTCCTGAGTAGCTGGGATTACAGGCATGCACCACCACACTCATCTAATTTTGTATTTTTAGCAGAGACGGAGTTTCTCCATGTTGGTTAGGCTGGTCTCGAACTCCTGACCTCAGGTGATCCTCCTGCCTCGGCCTCCCAAAGTGCTGGGATTACAGGCATGAGCCACTGCGCCTGGCCACATATCTGTGTAAGTTTTAAGATTAAAACTTATGTTTTTGGCAACCGATAAGTGTTAATCTTTTTTTTTTTTTTTTTTTTTTTTGAGGTGGAGTCTTGCTCTGTTGTCCGGGCTGGAGTGCAGTGGTGTAATCTCAGCTCACTGCAACCTGTGCCTCCTGGGCTCAAGCAGTTCTCCTGCCTCAGCCTCCCGAGTAACTGGAATTACAGGTGCCAGCCACCACGCCTGGCTAATTTTTGTATTTTTAGCAGAGATGGGGTTTCACCATGTTAGCCAAGCTAGTCTCAAGCTCCCGACCTCAGGTGACGCACCCGCCTCGGCCTCCCAAAGCGCTGGGATTACAGGCGTGAGCCACCGTGCCTGGCCCATACATTGATTTTCAAACGTTAATTTATCTGCACGGTGGAATAAACGCGCTGCCTGGCCGTGAAGTGTTCTCTGTCGTGTTTGTGTATCACGTGCACTCAGTCCTCATTATTTGTGGATTCTGTACTGGCGAGTTGCCCGCTTGCTAAAATGTATTTGAAACCTCAAATCAGAACTCGCGACACTTTTATGGTCAGGTGCCAGCAGATGTGTGTAGCGTGGCAGTGAAGGTGAGTTACCTGAGTGTATTTCCAGCTGAGGTGGGACAAGGTGCTGCTCTGTCTCGTCTCTTGGCCCTTTTACTGCGAGCAAGCGCCTTTCCTGCCGTGTGCTTAATGCCATTTTCCACACCGTTGTGCTTTCTGTGGGCGAATTTACGGTTTAACATGGCGCCTAAATGTGGTGCCGACGTTCTGTCTGGCGTTCCTCAGTGGAAGAAGGCTATGACGTGCCTTTCAGAGAAAATTCGAGAAACTCCACTCAGGCGTGAGCTCTGGTGCTGCTGGCCGTGAATTCAGCGTGAATGAATCCATAAGGTAGATTCAATGAGACGGTGGTCCCCATCCTTGTTTGGCACCAGGGGCTGGTTTCGTGGAAGACAGTTTTTCCACGGATGGTGGAGTAGGGGGCGTGGTTTCAGGAGGAAACCGTTCCACTTCAGATCATGAGGCATTAGATTCTCGTAAGGAGTGTACAGCCTGCAGCCCTGGCGGGTGCAGTTCACAGTGGGATTTGTGCTCCTATGAGGATCTGATGCCACCACTGGTCTGACAGGAGGTGGAGGTCAGGCAGTGACGCTGGCTCGCCCGCCGCTCACCTCCCGCTCTCCCGCCGCTCACCTGCTTGCCTGCTGCTCGCCTCCTGCTGTGCGGCCAGTTCCTAACAGGCTGTGGACCAGTAGTGGTCTGTGGTCTGGGGGTTGGGAACCCCTGCAATAACACAGTTTTTAAAATTTAAATGTTATTTATATATCTTTTTTTAATTTAAATTTTATTTATCTTTTTTAAATTTAAATTTTATTTATTTATTTATCTATTTATTTTTTAGACAGAGTCTTGCTCTGTCACCCAGGCTGGAGTGCCCTGGTGCGATCTTGGCTCACTGCA